CACGTTCAGTTTGCAAAATCCCAACTGGAAACTTGTCCTGCTTGAGAGCGGGGAGCTGCTCTCAGCCGCTCGCGGAGAGCTCTCAAAGCAAATTAATTTCACATTTCAAAGGAGTCCTGAAGCATTTAACCCCAAAAATCTGAGAGCTGCTGCCTTGACTAATGCCTGCCCAGAGCAAGACTTGCCCAGAGAGTTCCTGCCCCAGGATCCAGCCAAGCTACAGACTTGCAAAACTTCAGTATTCACCACATTCAGCAATAAAGAGATGCAGTAAAAGAGATTGTGATTTGAGGAAACCTTTCCTATTTTGGGAGCATATAAATTTAGAGGTGCTGTTTACTGGCTTTGGTGCACTGAAACTTCTTGCAAACACCAAGTCCATGGGGCATTTGGCTCTTAGGAAAAAATAAAGGTAAAATCCTGCACACACACAGATCTAACCCTATTACACTGCATCCAAAGCTGTGGAATCATTTCCTCCTTTCTTCCTTTGCTGGCTCAGTCTTTGCCTCCTGAGTGTTTACCTCAGGCCAGTGAAGATGTGCTGCCTAATTTCCTCTGCATCCCCTGTGTGTCCAAAGGAAAATCCAGCAGTTCAGGAATTGTTTTTCCTGCACCCACCATTTCCAGGGCTGAGAAGAGTGGAGCTACACATTCCTTGTATCCATGGGGTTGGGATTCAGCCCTGTGCAGCTGATTTTTAACCCCTGGTTTTCAGAACAGCCACTTGGAATGGGATTTGTGATGAGACCCATCATTTTTTCCAGTGTTTGAATGAAAATTTGAGTTATTTGACTGGTGTGGGACTGAGCTGCTGAGCCAGGAGGGGTTTGCTGGGGATTTCCCCCCTCATATTTGTTTTCCTTCTTCTAGCTGCAGCTTTGTATTGCTTGTGTTTGCAAAGTTGGTGTGACATCAATTTAAGGGATATCGCCTCTTATTTAAAAGGAAAAAAGTCCCATTGAAATGCACTCAACCTCAAGACAGAGTTTACATCTACATATCAAATATTAAATGCTGATCCCTCAGGGTTTGTCTGTGCCCACAGTGGCTGGACCTGGGGAAGGGGCTCAGCAGCTCCTGGCAAGCCCATTTCCCATTTCCCATTTCCCATTTCCCATTTCCCATTTTCCCATTTTCCCATTTCCCATTTCCCATTTTCCCATTTCCCATGTTTTGGAGTGCTGGACCTGAGATATGTTAGCTGGGGAAAGGGCTCAGCAGCTCCTGGCAAGTCCATTTCCCATTTCCCATTTCCCATTTTCCCATTTCCCATTTCCCACGTTTTGGAGTGCTGGACCTGTGATGTGTTAGCTGGGGAAGGGGCTCAGCAGCTCCTGGCAAGTCCATTTCTCATTTCCCATTTCCCATTTCCCATTTCCCATTTCCCATTTCCCATTTCCCATTTTCCCCTTTCCCATTTTCCCATTTTCCCATTTCCCATTATTTTCCATTTTCCCATGTTTTGGAGTGCTGGGAGAAGGTTCTGTCAGGGAGGGCTGAAGGGAGGTGAAGCACCTGCACCAGGGGCACGAAAGGGTTTTCCATGGTTTTATGGAAACTGTCAGTAAAGTGGTCTGGGCTGCAGCACTGGGGATGCTGGAAATGCTTTTTGTCCTCTCAATTTCCATTCCAGGCCCTCACAGCAACATTTGCTGGAGAAATGGTCACCAACGTTGCCTGAAGAAGGAAACTTTCCCTGTGGAACAGGAAGGAATGCTCCTCCAAGGAATGTTCTGCTGCCTGCCAGGGCCAGGGGAAGGGGCTGGATGTGACAGGGACACCTAATGACTTTGCCTGGGCTCCATTTGCCTGCAGGTTTTCCACAGGAAAAGCAGATCAGTGTGAAACACAAGGCAGAATGGCAGCCCAGCAGTCCCACAGCCTGTGGGAATGCCCAGGATCCCACAGCATCCCTGAGGATTTCACACAGGACTGAGGGGCAGCACAGCACCAGCAAAATGAAGCTCTTCATGTACCAGCTGACTGCTGCTATTTTTGAGTTGTTAAATGTTTTTAGTAGCACTGAAGATCAAAACCCAAATTGTTCATTTATGGCACAGCCCATTCTACCCAAAACTCCAGAGAGTCTGAAAGTATTACAATCTACTGCTGAACTCCCATTAGCAAGTTTGTGTTTTTAATAAATAAAGTCCCATAGAAACAGAAAGTATTTACAATTAGATCAAAATTCTGAATATAATTCACAAGAGAAAATGCTATTTTTTGAGAAGATGTTTTCATATCCTCATAACAGTCATTTGTTCTAAATTGGTACATAGCAATTGTCCATTAAATGAACATTTTTCCCTTAAGACCTATTCTTGTAGAAAAGTATTTCAGGCAAAACTTCTTAACCATGATGTAACCACTCAGAATCAGAGCATGTCAGTGATTAGTAACTCACAGAAAGTATTAACACTTTGCATGGCTTGAGGAAAACATGGTGAATAACATCAAAATGTGACAGCAGACAGGGTGTGGGGAGAACAACAGATTTTATTAGAGCAGCTGATACAGTTGAAGGAAAAGTTGAGGCTTGTGGGCACTCAGTGCCTTCATCCTCATAAAGGATAACACCCATTCCTGCAAAACTCTTCTGGTTCTGACTCCATCACCACTCTCAGAATGCAGGGATTTTGGGCTGAGTGGCTTAGGCACTGTCACTGCTGAATGGACAGTTTCAGAAATATCACCACTTGCAGGAGAGGGATGAAGCTCTTTGGTTAATGTGCTGTGGGTTACACAGATTTTTTTTTCAGTGCTTTACCAAAGTACTGAACTCAATTTCCCTGTCAGAGCATCTCTGCCACTTATTTTCAAATTAATTTGAATATTACCCCTGCAAGGACACGCCCTAAAATTCCTTTTTGTTTGAAGCCACTTCTGGGCTTCCATTTGAAGGGAAGCCAATGGGAAATGGGATTGTTTAAGACACGCAGGCTCAGAGTCATGGTTCTTGCTGGGTGCTGCTGTGGCAGGAATTCAGAGCAGGATCTGGGGCACATCCCTGTGCCAGCCCATCTGTGACCCCCCTTCCATGGGAGGGGCAGCTCTGGGAATTCTCCCCCCAGGGAGGGAAGGCAACGCTGCAAATGGACAGGGGGGAATGACTCCAGCCAGAGGGAGAATGTTCCAGAAGGAGAACATTCCAGAGGGAGAACGGTCCAGAGGGAGAACGCTCCAGAGGGAGAACGTTCCCTTTGCACCGTGACAGCCAAGCGTGGATGCAACTCCTGCCAGGGCCATGCTCAGCTGGAAACACCTGAGATGTGCAGCAAGGCTGCAGGGCTGAGCATGAGCTGCATGAACTGCAATGAGCTGCAATGAACTGCATGTGCTGCATGAATGGCAATGAGCTGCATGAGCTGCATGAACTGCATGAGCTGCAATGAACTGCATGAATGCATGTGCTGCAATGAGCTGCATGAGCTGCAATGAACTGCATGAGCGTCAATGAACTGCAATGAGCAGCATGAGCTACAGTGAACTGCATGAGCTGCATGAGCTGCATGAGCTGCAGTGCTCTGTGTGCTCCAGGGCCACCCCTCCTGAGCCACCTGAGATGACCTCACTGCCAGCCTGGCAGGATCGGAGCTGCAGCCTGGCAGTGATTTATCTCAGTGCAATTCCACCCCCGGGCTGCACACCTGGAGCTGAATGATCCAATTCCCCAAATTTCCTGGTGGGAACAGCGCTCACTGCTGACCTCAGGCCCACAGGTTCCCTGGAATCTGCAGCAGGAAACCTTTCCAGGTGCAGCAGGCATGAGCTGAAGGATTAATTTTAGTATTTACCTCTCAGAGCTCCTTTATTGCATCATTTGCATTGGCTTAAGAGTTTTAAGGCCTGTGTTAGGAGCAGAGCCAATTTCTACTCCCTGAAGATCCTGCTCACACCTACTTCACCTCTTTGTCCACTTGGGAATCACCACTCCCCTTGTCTCAGTTTAAGGCACATTTTTTGCTACATAAATAAAATATAGACACGAGGAGGAAACCAAGGCTATTGGGGACCTCTCCTTATTTTGATATATAAATTACAAAAAGTGGCTTTTCCCCAGTATTCCCTCCCCTGGTCCACCGCTGTGGGTCCCCCCCTGCTTGATGTATTCAGGGGTCACATTCACAAACTATCAAAGGCGGGCAGGTGAAATGGGAATCTCACCTGAGCAACAAGAATACCCCAAAATGACATTGTTAGGAAATTTATCTTCTGCTAAATTTGCTCACTCTGCTGTGCTCTGCTCCCTGTGGAACTCTGAGGTGACAATACAGGGCAACACATGCAAGAAAACCAACAACCTCAACAGCAGGAACATCTCCCAGCACCCCTGGATGAGCACCTGGAGCTCAAGTCGGATTTAGGGTGCAGAGTCTCCATCACAGCTTTATATTTACACAAGAATTAATCTAAACCTTGCTTTTGCTTAGGAGTTAATTTGTCACAATTTCCCAATTTTCCATGATATTTTGACTGCTGTTCAAGGGCAGTTTATTAAATAATTGGGAAGGTCTCGGGCCAAGAGGTTTGTACCAACCCATTCCAGCTCAGCCCTGGCTGCTGTGGGGTGGGAATTGGAGTAGCTGCTGCTCCACCTGCAGAGGAATCAAAAGGTCTCTGTTTCCTAGGAGTGCTGAGCACTGCATATTCGTCATTAATGAGCTCTTGAAATGGCATCTGATTTCTCAGTTTGCCCCCAAAGGAGTGCCCTGATCTCTCCTTACACCCTTTGCAGAGCTCTGCCAGTGTCCAACCTTGTTATGTTATGGAAGGCACGAACGTTTTCACACCTGACACTTCTTTCTCCCTTTGGCCTTGCAGGCTCTCCTGGGAAGCTGCACCAATCTGGGACTGAATTTCACTGTGCTGCTGCCTCAGGAGCACAAAGCTGAACGTTAATGCTTCAAACATTTCCCTGGGAATGCTCAAGGAGAAAGGTTTTTATTGAGTTGAAAATTTAAGTGCATGCTTGAGTGAAGCATCGATCATACTCGGACAAGCGATTGTAAGAAATAACGTAGTTAAAAAAATTAATTCTGAAAATACTGCCAACAATTTCATGATATAGATACTTTTAATATTAAAAGTAAATTGTAAATGTGTCTTTATAAACAATATGCATAAAATAGATCTACTATACTAAGCTCTCTCTTTTTAAATGCTGTTTCACAGTAATCTCTTAGGTACGCCAAGTTTTTCCCTCATAGAAATAGTGCAATCTGAAGAACATACATCATGTCAGGGGATAACAGCTGCTCTGCTCATTAATACAGGTCCTTGTAGATCTCCTGGAGCAGAGGATGGAGGCTCATGTCCGTCTCGGTTTTCTTGATGACCTGCAGGAGCTGCACGTGCTCCGTCACGATCTGCCTCAGGTCCGTCATTTTCTGCAGCAGCTTTGCAAACAGCTGCGAGGACTCAGGGTGGTTCAGCTTCAGCTGCAGCTCCAGGGCTTGCAAAAGGTTGTCCTGAATGTCTTCAATGGGCTTCACATTTAGCAACCCCGGGCGGTCTGGGGGAAAAAAGGTTGGGAGTTTATCAGCACCATAACATCGATTTTCTGTGTTAATTTCTTATGTGTTTATCAGCAAATTCAGATGGCATTTTCTGGGAGCTGAATGGCCATCAGGTACTTTGTAAGGTTTCCCTGGGATCTGCTCAAAGAAATTTTAGGACTAATTTTGGAAACATTTTCCCTAGGTGGTCTGGGGAACAAAAAGGTTGGGAGTTTATCAGCACCATAACATCGATTTTCTGCGTTAATTTCTTATGTGAATCTTAGCAAGTTCAGATGGCATTGCCTGGGAGATCTCTGGCCATCAGACAAGTTTGTTTGTAAAGTTTCACTGGAATCTGCTCAAAGGAGTTTTAGGATTAGTCTTGGAAACATTTCCCCTAGGTGGTCTGGGGAAAAAAAGGTGTTGGGAGTTTATCAGCACCATAACATTGATTTTCTGCATTAATTTTTTACGTGTTTTTCAGCAAACTCAGATGGCATTGCCTGGGAGCTGTCTGGCCATCAGGAGGTACTTTGTAAGGTTTCACTGGAATCTGCTCAAAGGAGTTTTAGGACTAGTCTTAGAAACATTTCCCCTAGGTGGTCTGGGGAAAAAAAGGGTTGGGAGTTTATCAGCACCATAAGATCGATTTTCTGTGTTAATTTCTTACGTGTTTCTCAGCAAATTCAGATGGCATTGCTTGAGAGCTGCTTGGACATCAGGCAGTTTGTAAGGTTTCCCTGGGATCTGCTCACAAGAGTTTTAGGATTTCGATTTAGATTCTAATTTAAAATTGGAAATATTTCCCCTAGGTGGTCTGGGGAAAAAAAGGGTTGGGAGATTATGGAGTTTATCAGCACTGTAATATTGATTTTATGCATTAATTTCTTATGTATTCCTTAGCAAATTCAGATGGCATTGCTTGGGAACTCTCTGGCCATCAGGCAGTTTGTAAGGTTTCCCTGGGATCTGCTCACAAGAGTTTTAGGATTTAGATTTAGTTTTGGATTCAAATTTTAGAATTGGAAACATTTCCCCTAGGTGGTCTGGAGAAAAAAGGTGTTGGGAGTTTATCAGCACCATAACATCGATTTTCTGCATGAATTTCTTATGTGATTCTTAGCAAGTTCAGATGGCATTGCCTGGGAGCTCTCTGGTTATCAGGTATTTTATAAGGTTTCCCTGGGATCTGCTCAAAGGACTTTTAGGATTTGGATTTAGATTCCAATTTTAGAATTGGAAACATTTCCCCTAGGTGGTCTGGGGGAAAAAAGGGTTGGGAGTTTATCAGCACCAAAACATTGATTTTCTGCATTAATTTCTTATGTGATTCTTAGCTTACAAAGGTACTTTGTAAGGGATCTGCTTACAAAGGCTACTTTCCCTGGGATCTGTTCAAAGGACTTTTAGGATTTAGATTTAGATTCAAATTTTAGAATTGGAAATATTTCCCCTAGCTGGTGTGGGAAAAAAAAGGGTTGGGAGTTTATCAGCCTCATAGCATAAATCCTATGCATTAATTTCTTACACCTTTCTTACCAAATGAAGCCTTTACAGATGGCGTTTCCTGAGAGCTGTCTGACCATCAGGTAGCTTGTAAGATTTCACTGGGATTGCTCAGAGGGGGTTTAGAACTAATTTTATACTCTAGAACTAGGTTTATCCACTGACACTTCTCTAGGTTTAATCTATTGCAGTGGATTAAATGAGTGGATTTTCCACAGTAAACTGGGAGTGTGTGTGGGAAAAAGAGTGAAATCCTTGGGGGATAAACAATCTGTATCAGATAATTCACTTCTGGAAAATCAATATGTATGATGGATTTGCATGTAGCTGCTGCCACTAGAAATGTTTCCTGCTAAGGTGGATGTGAACCCATCAAAAAAAAAAAAAAAAAAAACAACAAAAAAAACCCCAAAAAAAAGCAAAAAAAAAAAAAGCATAAACTCAGCTCCAGCTCCTGCAGATTATTTGATTCTCCAGCACTGACAGTTTATGAAATGTTGAATGTCTGAGCAATGAAAGATACTTAACTTTGTTCAATTCTCACATATGACAATGAATTTGTTACTGCTAAAATACTTAATACTGGGTAACACATCCCAAATATCATAATGAATCATGAAAAGAGTCAATAATTTAAATAAAATTTGCTGTGTAGCTATGAAATTATTTTCATAGCTTGATCAATGAAAAGCAGTGCCTACTGCAAGGCTTAAATCACTTCCCTGAGGCAATAATTCCATTTCAGCAAGGAGGAGAGGCTGATCTCCATTAAAAACATCAAAAATAAGCTGTTATTTCCTGTGATCTTGGTAACCTTTCTGAGCAGAGAGTTCTCCTAACTCAGCTCGAGTTGTGCTGGCAGAAAGGCAGGGAGCAAACAAAGCTCTTTATAAATACACGGCTTTACCTCATGGGGGAAAAACTGCAGTGTAAACTAAAAGGCAAAGCTGGCAGGAAAACCAACGAGGGAGCCATGAAAACGAAGGTCACTGATCAGGAAAGGATACTCAGCTCTCCAGGAGGGGAGCTTCAGGCAGAGTTTTTTCAAAGATAGGAATAAAAGTAATTTTGAGTGTGAACTTGGATATTTGTTTGTCCGTGTGCTCGTCTTGCAGACATCATTTATTTATCCCATCCAACTGATAACACCACAAAATCTGGTTCAGAAAGGCTGGAGTAAATATAAAAAAGGTTCATTTTTATTAATTTTTGAGCAGTTTTTTAAGGATACCTAAAGAATTTTGGCTAAGTATTAGATACTTATTTTTTGATTACCTGAATGGGCTGCAGATTTGAGTTGAAGTCTTTCTGAAAATTGCCAAATTTCAGCTTTGCAAAGCTGGTAATAATTTAGGGTTGTGATAGCTTTCAATTCCCCTGGTGTGCTGCAGCTGAACTCTGAGCTAGCTGGGCATGACTCAGTGTGCAGGGACAGAGAGGATCAGAGAGCACGAAGACGTGGCCTCGCTTTCCCCTGAGATCCAGCTCCCCCTGCCCTGCTCCTTTGGGCTGGGAAGATTTTGGGGTGTGAATCTTTCAGGAGCCAATCCCAATTCAAATATTGGTCTTCAGAGCCCAGGAGGAAACTTCACTGGGTCTGGGATTTATGAGGAGCCCCCTGAATTTGGGTGCCTGAGACTGCAGTGGATAAAATCCTGAAAAACCCCTTGAAAAAACCCCAGTCTGATGATTTTTTAATGACCCAGTGGGACCAGAGGCAGAAAAGATGACTCTGACAAAAGCCTAGGAGATTATCAGATGTTATTTTTGTATAAGGCAATTCAAGAGGAAGGAAAATTCCCATTGAAGGCAAGGGAGATTTTTCATGAATGAGAACTTCAGGATATGGGCAGTGTTTTTTGGGTGTTGACAGTTTGCTTTACTTTCTCAGTAAAAACCTCTTACAGAGGAAAATGCTGCTTCTGTTCCAAGAAACTTATCTAAATCAGGAAAAAAAGGAAATAAGAGGCAAAAGCTTAAACATCCAGCTATTATGGTATATTTCAAGCTGTTAAAATGCTCTTAAATATAGATCTGCTCCAGACCAATTTGGTTTTGTACCAAAAGATGAATTTTTTTGTGGTGAGGAGCTGCAGAGGGATGTGCCTTGCAGGAAAAAGAGCACCACAATTTCCTGCTATTTATCATGTTTATTTACTCACAGTTTCTTTATGTTTTCATTCATTGTCATACAGCTGCTTCAATTGTTTTAAAAAATGTTCACAGTGACTGGGAAAGGCCAATAACCCCAAAGTTCTGAGAGCAAGCAGCACCACTTTGTGTAAATTAATATTCTACACTGTCTCAGGGGAAAATACTTTATTTGTTTGTTTACCTACTTATTTGGATGCCTCTTTCATGTCCCTAGCAATAATTACAACCTTTTACCTGGTCCTCACATATGAAAGTGCCACCTGCATGTCTTTACATTTTACTATCTTTGAATAAATGCATTTTGCTTTTGAATGCCCATTTTAAAATCTCAAAGATCTGGCTGAGTGAACACATGTGCTCCTTCTTTTTTCTTTTGCTGAGGCAGATGTGACTCAGCACTTTGAGGTTTGTCATCTGAGACTGTCACATGTGTTGGAGTCACCAGGAGTTTGTCAGAACAAAGAAATGCTTTGTAATCTGAGCAAGAACTGCAGATCATCACTGCAGGCATTGAACCAGAGTGCAGGGTTTGTGTGGCACTGAAATAGGAACTGCTTCTTGGTAATAGTCTGCGATAAAAATTCAAATTTTGCTGAGCTGAGAATGCAGCAAAATTATTGAATAGTTTTACACACCAGAAGCAGGAACTTGTGGCTTAAAATTTAAGGTAAAAACCACACAGAAAACAGAAAAAGTGACTTTAGAAACATCTCTGCATTTAAATACCAGTTTGACTGCACATGGACAGGCAGGGTGTGGGTCTTTACAGGGATCCAAATATTCCTGCATCCCAACATTCCTGTATCCTAAAATTCCTGTATCCAAACATTCCTGTATCCAAACACTGCTGTATCCAAACATTCCTCTATCCCAACACTGCTGGATCCAAACATTCCTGTATCCAAACATTCCTATATCCCAAAATTCCTGTATCCCAAAACTGCTGTATCCAAGCAGTCCTGTATCCTAAAATTCCTGTATCCAAACATTTCTGTATCCCAAAATTCCTGTATCCAAACATTCCTCCTCTATCCAACCACTGCAGAAGATAATACACAAAAATTCGAGTCCATCCACACTGCAAAATTCCCTTTTGAGCTTTTTCTTTGCTTGACACCAGCCTGCTTGAGTGAGTTTGCCCAGCTCACAAATTGAATTATTCCATTAAGGTTTGCAGTATTATCTTTCCTGCCCAAATTGAGCTATCCAGCTCGTTCTCCCTAAACCTTCTTGTGGCAGAGTTCCTTTTCAGCTCAGGTGGATGTGATATTTTAAAGATGCTTCAGTTCTTTCCCATGTACAGCAGAGCACTCACTGCTGACTGAGGGTGAGTCTCAGTGGCACAGAAGAAGAAAATCTCTTAAAAGAATAATTCCAAATCTCATTTAACCAAAGTGTGTCTTTTAAAGTCATCCCAGCTGGAAGGATGTTGTAAGGAGGGTTTGCTGCTGCTGATGGCCAAAAGCATTTCTGTTGCACAGACCAGGTGAAATCCCATGCTCACACACAGCCTCTCTGTCTGAGCAGCATTAAATTCAGAATACAAGACTTTGTTTGCCACTGACTTTGTTTTACAGCACCAACAGTAAGAGCAGCTCTGCAGAAATGGGTTCAGAGAAACATTTGGAATAACTGAGGCCCAGAGAGGCTGCACCGAGGAACAGTAAAATCCACTGTGGGAGTATTTCCCATCTGTTGCTATTACAGTTAATTTGTCAGCTCCTTATTGCTGTGATTTGGGCTTTTTGCCTTTTGAGATAACATGCACAAGCAGCTGCTTGGTTATCAAAAGGCTAAAGAGTTTTATAGGATTTGTGGCAAATTCCAAACACTTCCCAAGGAAAAGCTTTCCATGTGTGATGTTCCAGCTGGAATTATCTTTCCCTTTCCTTTCTCCCCTTCTGTTAGAGCTGCACAAGAGCCAGTCCCCCTGGAGCCAGCAGAATTAGCAAAATTTCACCAGGTAATCACAGATTCACTGACATTTAGAGCTTTTTGTGTTTCACAAAGTGGTTTTGTGTTAGAGATGTTTGTACACAGGATTTCATGAAGGGATTTAAGCATTGCAGGGTTCCTGCAGCAAGTCAAGTCCTCGAGATGCTCTGCTTTGGAAATCCTGTTCTCGGTGAAATCACCCTGCTGTATTCAAATAGTTCTTACACAAATCCAATTTTGCAAGGGTGAAGCTCTTACAGAAATGTCTGAGACAGCTGAGAAATTGGACCTAGTTTTATATCACACAAGATATTTTAACACCCAGTTCAATAGATATCATATCTGGCTGTAAATTCCATGATAAAAGCTTTCTTTAATTGGCAACAAAGCTTAATTGTTTTCAAAACATAAACTTTTTTGTTTTTTCAAGCAGCTGTCATGTTTTTTGAAAAAAAGTTCTGCAAAAAGATAGGGAGGTCTTTGCTGAAATTAAAGGAACTTCCTAGAAAGGACTGATTTATATTTAAATGGATTTATATGTCTCTACAGATTTGTTTCAGAGTTTTGCTACAGTGATTTGATTGGAATTCATTAGTTCTTTACAAGCATCTGTTTACAAATTATTCTGGGAAAAAAAAAAAAAAAAAAAAGAGTCATGCTGATAAATCTGGTTCAACCCAGTTAATTATTGTGTGTGAATCACTGTCCTCCTGCAATCTAAAACCTGACATTGGTTACATCATTCCTGTTTCCTCTGGTGGAAACCAAACCCTGCTGAGGACAGGGCTCTGCTGAACACAAGTTCCCTTTTTGCAGCGAGGAGTGAATTTTGAGAGGCCTTTGCTCATCTGTCACATTTCATTATACCAAACCCACAAAATATTGGCATGTTCTGAGCAGTGCCCTGAGAGGCTTGTGCCATTTCTCCTTTTCCTCTCCTCATAAAAACCAGCCAAAAATACTCCAGCAAGGTGTTTTCCTTCCTGAATGAATGCAGAGCCCTGGGGGATCACAGAGCCCAAGGTTTGCACAAGGAAATTCCTGGGAGGAATTCTTGTTGGGAGCAGAATCAACAGGACAAATTCTGCTGTGACCCCTTGTTTTTCCTGAATGAAACCCAGTTCCAGGAGGAACTGGAGGTGAATTTAAATGCAGATATAGCTCAGAGTGCCCTCCCAGCAGCAGGGCTGCTTTTAGAACAATAGCACAAGGTTGTGTCTGATTGCTGAAATGTAATTTAATAACAAAATCCTCAGCTGCTCTGTGGAGGAGCCGAATCCAGAGCATTCAGCACATTCCTGCCATGGATGTGTGCAGCTCCACCTTGGGCCAAAATACACACAAATCAGTGGGGCAAGATTTTATTTGTGCAACATCACTGCCTTGGGAGTGTTGGCCAAAGGAACAGAGCTTCAATTTGCCTGGAATAAATCTGGAGGTGTCTGAGTGAAATAAATCCTGGTAGGCAGCACTAATTCCCAAACCAGAGCAGTGACATCACCTCAGGAGCACAGAACACACTGGCTGGCTGCAGAAAAACTGAAATTCAGAGTTTTTTCAATTGAATGTGGGCAGTCTGATACCTGGGATTTCAGGTTCATGCTTTGCTCAAAGCATGATGTGTGAAGATACAGCTGAAGAAAGCTGAACAAGCACACAACGCCTTTGTGTGTTTTCTTTTTTTAGGTTGTTTTCTTTTTTTAGGGGACCATAATTCTCCTGAAAAATGCATTTCCCCTTTCTTTTAAAGGCAAACAAAACCTTGCACAAATGGAAGAACACTGAAAAACACCATAACCCTGTTAGCCCAACACCACCTATGCTTTGGAATTGTTCTGTAGTCAAAGCTGTTTGTGGGCAATTAGCAAGCCACACAATATAATTGAGGGTTTAAAAACAGAATTTTAGCTCCTGGCAGCAAAATTCCACGCTTCCTGTTTTCCAAAAGATAGCCCTGATTTTGTTTTGTGCCTAAATGAACTGATGACTCAGCAGGCATTTCCAGCTCCATCACTAATATCAGGGTATTTCCATTTTCAGTTTCTGTCTGGAATTGAATGAAAGGTGAACAACAAAAAGAGATTTGAAAATGATTAAAAAAGCTCTGAGTAAATGCACTCACTCCCAGTATGCAGTGCTGAGCACTTTGCTGTTTGGGCAGGAGTTAAAGGTGTCAATCCCATATAAATTCTCTGAAATCCCACATAAATAAGAGAGAACTTACCTCCACTTAGGATAATGACAGCTATAAATATTGCCAGGTCACTGTCATCTAATTCCAGTGCATTGAACTTCACAGCAAACTCAAACTTGGGCTCCATAAAGTCACAAAAAGGTTTCCTCAGGCTCTTCAGGAACTCCCGCGTCATGAACCCCTGTCCATCGGATATGAGAACCCCATCTTTATTCATCAGGGAGGCCAGCAGGGTGTAGATGATCTCGTGGACCCCATATTTGAGCAGAGTCACTTGGTCGTTGAGGTCGAGGTTGACGAAGCCCGGGATGTTCTTGGCGAACTCGGTGATCTCCTGCACGGCCTCCACGGAGCGGAACTGGCAGCGCTGGAAGATGCGGATGGCCACCTCCTTGTTCTCCTCCTGCAGTGGGGACACGTGCTTGCACTTGATCTGGTCTTCCCCCATCATCAAAGAGTTCATGTCATAAATAACGAAGGGCTGAAACAAAGGGAAATTCCAGTTACTCCCAAATGTCCTACGCGAGAGCGCCGGACTCTGCAGGAACCCCAAGAGAACTCAGCAGCAACTCCTCAGATATCTCTGAGGAACCCATCAAGGGCTCCCAAAGTGTTTAATTATCCTGAGGAACCTGTCAAGGGCTCCCCAAAGAGTTAAATTGTCCTGAGGAACCTAAAAGGTTCCCTAAACAGTTAAATTGTCCTGAGGAACCCATCAGGGCTCCCCCAAATTGTTCAGTTGTATGGAGGAACCTAAAGGGTTCCCCAAATAGTTAAACAGTCCTGAGGAGCATATCAAGGGCTCCCCAAATTGTCCTGAGGAACCTGTCAAGGGTTCCCCAAATAGGTAAATTGTCCTGAAAAACCTAAAGGGTTCCCTAAACAGTTCAATTGTCCTGAGGAATCAGTCAGGGGTTCCCCAAATAGTTAAATTGTCCTGAGAACCTAAATGGTTGCCCAAATAGGTAAATTGACCTGAGGAACCCATCAAGGGTTTCCAAATAGTTAAATTGTCCGGAGGAACTTGTCAAGGGATCTCCAAATGGTTAAATTGTCCTGAGGAACCCATCAAGGGTTTCCAAATAGTTAAATTATCCTGAGGAACCTGTCGAGCGTTCCACAAATTGTCCTGAGGAACCTAAAGGGTTCCCCAAATAGGTAAATTGTCCTGAAAAACCTATCAAGGGCTCCCCAAATAGGTAAATTGTCCTGAGTAACCTATGGCGTTCTCCGAAGACTTAAATTGTCCTAGAGAACCTGTCAAGGGTTCCCCAAATAGTTAAATTGTCCTGAGGAATCAATCAGGGGTTCCCCAAATAGTTAAATTGTTCTGAGGAACTTATCAAGGGGCCCCCAAATAGGTAAGTTTTCCTGAGGAATCTAAAGGGCTCCCCAAAGAGTTAAATTGACCTGAGGAACCTAAATGGTTCCCCAAATAAGTAAATTGTCCTGAGGAACCCATCAAGGGTTCCCCAAATTGTCCTGAGGAACTTAAAAGGTACCCCAAATAGGTAAATTGTCCTGAGGAACCCATCAAGTGTTCCCCATATAGGTAAATTGATCTGAGGAACATAAAAGGTTTCCCAAATAGTTAAATTGTTCTGAGGAACCTGTCAAGGGTTCCCCAAATTGTCCTGAGGAACCTAAAAGGTTCCCCAAATAGGTAAATTGTCCCGAGGAACCCATCAAGGGTTTCCAAATAGTTAAATTGTCCTGAGGAACCTGTCAAGGGCTCTCCAAATAGTTGAATTGTCCTGAGAAACTGAAAGGGTTCCTCAAATGTTTAAATTGTTCTGAGAAACCTAAAGGGTTCCCCAAATAGGTAAATTGTCCTGAAAAACCTATCAAGGGCCCCCAAATTGTCCTGAAAAACCTATCAAGGGTTGCCCAAATAGTTAAATTGTCCTGAGGAACCCATCAAGGGCTCCCCAAAGAGTTAAATTGCCCTAAACCTATGAAAACAAATATCCTCACAATGTTAAAATGATTTACAAAAAGGCCAAGAAAAGGGGGGAAGGAATGCTATTTTAAAGTACCCAGAGTTTTGCCTTTCCCTTTGTTTGTTTGCTTTTTGCTTTATAGAATTTTCTGTCATTCCAGAACTGAAAGTTTGGAATGTTGAACAAAAGGTTAAAATGATACTACTATTACCTGAATTATAAAAGCTTCTATAAAAGAGAATCTAATGAGTGGAAAGGAGCCTTCTTTTTTTTTTGTAGAAAGACAGAGAAAATTCTCATTTTGATTCCTTTATTTACTTTCATGTTCCTTTCATGTTCTATCCTAGGAAACACTGCAAGTAATATCAACTTTATGGTATTGATTAACTGATAAATGAGATCTTTTGCTGTTAACTCCTGTAAAAATAACAACATTAGGATATGTTTAAACCCACTCAACTTGTCTATGGGAAAGCAAAAACAAATACCATGCTACAAACCACAATTCAGAACACAAAAATGAGGCTGACTGTGAAATAAACTCAACTGGAACAAATCAATTTTGAAAGCAGCTTAGCAAAAGTAGTGCCAGAATACTTGCATTAGGATCTGGAAACAATCTCTTCTAGAATATGCAAAAGAAGTTCCTGGGTTTAAAGAAGTGGTTATGTGAGGATTTCTCAAATTCATTTGAAGAATCTTTCCCTCAAGAAGACTAATGACTAATAGTTCATTGGTGCACTGAACAAATCTCCCTGATAGGAATAGATTTGTTAACATACTTGATTAATTAATTAAAATACAAGGGATCAAACTCCAACAATCAGACTAAAGAAATAATTTTTTAAATGGAAGGTCATTTATGATTGCAGACTGTAATAGGGATGCTGATTCTCATGGTTTTATGTTTACAGCTCCAGACCACGACATTCCAGGAGGGATTAAATGATTTTCCCACTTGCACTGAGGATTTCAGTGTGAAACTGAAACAACAAACACAGTGCACTGAGAAAAGCCAGGAGAGCAGGAATTGTTCAGGTAATGGCATTTTGGCAGCAGCAAAGCCATTAAATACATATCTGCACATATGGAATAGTGGAGTAACAGGACTGCAGCAGATGCTTTCAAAATGCATATTTTGGTTCTAGTGGGCAATTTCTTCCTGTTCTTTCTAGTGGGAGCACCAAGTACAAGAGAAAGTCATTATTAGTCCATGCCCATGTGCTTCAGAAAGCTGATATTAATATTACACCACTGGCCTATCCATGATAGATGAAAATCAAGAAAGAGTTCAAAATAGCCAAAGATTTTTTAATATAAGGATTTAGATGAACTTGAAAGTAGAATCTGATGTCAAATGAGCTCTGGATACCCCAGGAGATGATGAATAACTAATTCTAGTTTTGATACACTCACTTGCATATCCAAACATTTCAAATTAATTCAGATCATACAGCAACTAAAAAATAACGTGAATTTAAACTATGCCCATAGTAAACAGTTTGGTGCTCCAGAGCACCAAATCCATTGATAAAAACATGAAAGTTGTAACCATTAAATCCTGAGTGTCACTCTTGCGGTGGTATCTTCAAGAAAGACCTGAAAGTTGGCAGCACTGAAAAGCTGGATTCTGTCTACTGCCTTATTGCTGTTTCTAATGTGCCAAAGTTTAAAAACTCCCCAGAAAAAAAGGAGAATTAATTGATGCAATTATACATTTACTGGGTGAGAATTGCAGTGGTGGAACTTTCAGGCACGAGCAGCTTGCACATCAGTTTCTGCAGAATAAATAAACTTAACTAATTCAAACTTTATGCTGAAAAGTTACATTGTTAGTGCCCATCACATCTTTTATGTGAGGGGTCAACCAATTTCTGGACAACATTAAAACTGTTATTTTAATTGCCTTTAAGGAAAGGAAGCCTTTTTGGAGCCTGAAGTATCTCTGAGTTCTGTGATGTCTTTGAAATTATTAAGGAAAATAAAATACACTCTCTGTTGTAATCCTGACAATAAAATTTCTGCCAATGATTCTAGAAAATACATCAAGCTAAGAGTTATGAGTTGTGGAAAACTATTTTGTTCTTTAGGTATTAAAATACTGTTACCAATATGATCAGATATTATTTATGCTCCTCTCACTGATACAGAAGATTATTATGGATGCCAAATGAAATTTCTAAGGCAACCCACAAATCCACTTATCACTATTCCTTGCTTTTCCAAGATTTTCCTGTCCATTCTCCTAAAATTCCAAGTGCACCAACACAGGGCACTGATGTGACCTGAGCTAACCCAGAGAAAAGCAGGAATTCATCAGAGTTTCATAAGAACAAGCATCACATAAGAATGTGCTGGGGCTGGAATCATTTGCCACTTAGGAAAAGGGATATTCCTCAGGGAGCAGCAATTCCTGACAGCTGGAGAGCCACCTTAAACAGATAGTGTGGGAGATAACCTCTGGGCAAGGAGAGGGAAAACGGGAAGACAGGATCAGGGAATACAAAAAGGTTAAGGTGACCTTCAAATTCTTGTCCTGGTTTCAAGTATTTTATTAGGTGAACTTGGAGTTTTTTCAAATAATGTTTACTTATCCTATCTAAAAACATTTCCTGTGTTTCAGAGACAGCTTGAAATGTGTAACTGCCAACAGCAAAGTGGGGTTTTTTGGTGGTGCTTTTTTTTAGTTTCGGTGTTTTGCATTTTGGCTTTTTTTAAGAGCTGCGCTGTCATCTCGGCGAATCATTTACTGGGGAAAAAGGAAGAAACAGAAAGAAGAGGGAACTGACTGATTTGTCTGTCGTCTTTCCTGTCAGGATGGCCCTCGCCTTGGCTTTGGTCAGAGGGAAGGACTTGATGTAGGAGTCGTAGAGGTGCTTGGCCAGCGCGCGCAGGTCGGCCGACTCGGGGTTCAGCTGCTCGATGTCGCTGGAGATCTCCGCCAGCAGCTTCTCCTTCTCCGCCTGCGGCATCCGCCCGAACCTGATGGCTGAGAGCACCACAGAGTTACAAAAACCCACACCTGAGGGGCTTTCTTGCCACCTTTGCACCTGCACTGGCACCTCAAGAAGCACTTTTGAGTTTTTGTCGCCTTTCGGTGCTGAAGTTTGTGCTGAACAGCGTTAGGCAAGCAAGGAAAGAGAATTTTCTGCATTTAGGCAAAACAGCTGGAGAGCTTTAAAGAAATGTAAACAAACAAATCATCTCTGTGCCCATTATCATACCTTGCTTAGAAATGCCAACCCCCTGGTTCTACCTCCAATCTACATAAAATGCAAAGAATATTTAAGATATTAAAGTTCTGTTGGCTTGGGGTGGGAACCACCATTGAGCTTTGTATTGTTCTGGGCAAATCACCACATGGATCTGAGGTTCTTCATTTGTTTAGAAACAAAACCCTCACATGCCTTGCAGGAAGGAATTCCTAAACAGTTGAGCAGAACTTAATGTAGCAAGTGCTATAAATTGTTAACATCAAAATGAAGGAATGGGGAAGGAGGCTGTACAGGGAATAAAAACCTGGAAAAGGCTGAGATATTTGTGAGACCTCTATGTATGTGCAGTATTGAAAAACCAGGAATTGGTTCTACCTCATCAGATGAGCTCAAAATTGCTCAGATCTCCTCTGTACCTCCTACTTTTCCATCATGTACTTCCTAGCCAAGATTATTTATCCATGTGGGGCCTGACTGCAGAATGTTCCATATGAGCCATCAAAATCAAGACTGATTTATCACATGATATTTCAGTAAACAGAATTTAGTTTGTTTTATGGAAACAAAACAGAACAAAAGAGCATCCAAACAAGAGACGGAAGGAAGAAATCAAGGTTTGCATTTTGGCCCTAGGGGGAAATAGAAATATTATGAATATTTTTCCAGTGATTAGTGTGTTCCTTGGATAAAGGAAAAGTGCTGCTAAGATCATATAGAGATGATTTTACTGGGGATGTTCATTTTGGAAACAAGCAGCCACTTTTCTACGAGTTTGCTGCAATGTGTTGATGGGCAAACAGAACATTTTTTTCCAAGAATAAATAATTATGCCAGAACACATCCCCCCTCTCCATTTTTCCTATATTATATTTATTGATCAGCTGTCTTATTTCATGGCTGTAGAAACAAAGTTGTTTATTTTTATGACTGAACACTTTCAGCAACCTGGGAGTGAGACCTGCTGGATATTTCAGAATTACTTGGGTGTACTTGATATTAAATTATACTGAACATCACCAGGAAATGTTTCTGTTGTGGGTCTGCTCCTGAGAGCTGAGATTTGCAAAAGCAGATTCATAATCTGAAATCCCACTGGCCATTCCATCAAAAGAAAAGGTGATCAAGACTCAAATGCATTTTAAATACAACATTTCATTAAAAAATATGTTTTAAATATAATAATTTGTTAATAACAAGGAGGATTGTGAATCAATGAATCATATCTTACCATTTCATAGACATAGGATTTATTTTTTCATAGAATAAATTATTCTAAATGTATTTGGAATATATTTTATTGGTGAGATATCAGATGCAGCAGATTCTGTTCAATGTTTGTGAGCATTGCAGGCAAAATCTGGGGCAAAATCACTTTTGTGGGACTAGCCTAGCAGTTTCTTTTTATAAAAATCCTTGTCCCTGTCATTTTCAAGGGGCTGAGACAAAAACCAGGGAGAGCTCAGGCAGTGAGAGGTTGATGGGAGGAATTGGGAAAGGAGGATTTTGGATGGGAGGAGGAGCTGATGATGATGCCACAGCCAAAGGTCAGGCTGGGATAGGAGAGCCTGGGGAGGGATCAGGAGGGCTGGGAAAAACCTGGGAGAGCTGTGGAAATCTGGCTGAGAGGATTCTGTCCCAGCAATCCCAGACTCTGCAGGTCTGGGCAGGAGCCTGCAGCTGGAGCGTGGATTTCTCTCTTTCCTTGGGCAGTTCCTCCTTTTCCTTGAATTCCAGCATTCCCCAAATGTCAGGAGCACAAAGCCAGCAGTGAACACAGTCTGTCCTGAGTGCTGCATTCTGTCCTTTCTGTGAAGAACTACAATACTCATCCTCAGCCCAGATTTGGAGAAGTTAACCTCTTGGAGAAGTTAAATGTAAAAAAGATGGTTGTTTATAGACTCTTCTGCAGGGCACTGTTCTTCTGATTGTCTGGATTATTTCTGGGCATAAAGGAGACCCCCAAAAGCCCATAAATGCAGTTTGTTACATTAGAAAACACAAGGTAAAGTCAGGCTGGGTACCTGTCTGATTTTGGTGGTGGAGATGTGCCCAGATTGAGCAATCCCAATGACAAAGACATTGCCATGTGTTCTTTTTTCCCATTCCAGTACCTGAGCTAACACCAGCAGCACTTTTAACAGAATAGAACAAAATAAATGACATTTCAACACAAAAAGAACCAAGCTGCTGCTCAGTGGCACTTGAGAACCCAGCCTGCGCCACTCAGGGTTAAGGCCAGAGCTGCACTGTGGCTAGAGAAGGAAAGGAAAACAATATTCCAGGCATGAGAACACCACTGTCTTTTTTAACCTTTAGCCAAGTGCTATGGAGCATTTCTACGTGAAAAAATGTGGCTGTAGCTGCTGTCTCCTTGCAGTCCCCCTTTTGTCCTGATCCTTTTGCAATAATACATCCACACAAGACTGGAACCCTGAGGCACAAATAACCCACATTCTGCCTCAAAGCATTCAAAATTCTGATAATTTCCCTACCCAAGTGGCTGAAGTGGAATCTGGAGATGCAACATTAAAATGTGTCTCAGTGTCATTGGTGAAACACCCTGGTTCCACCCCCAGTCTGCATAAAAAGTAAAGAATATTTAAGATATTAAAAGAATATTTAAGATATTAAAAGAATATTTAAGATATTAAAGGTCTGTTAGCTATGGGTAGGAACACATCCATTGTTGAATTTCTTTAAGCTTCTGGGTCCTCAAAAGCGAAATTCAGCTTTTTTTGATAAATTAGTTTATAAATTATGAAGGAACGAGGGTGTTTTGTGCAAGGCAATGGAACCAAAGTAGGCAAAATAAAAAAGGCAAGTGTAGAAAGCAATGTTTGAATAAAAACACTGAGTTCTTGTTGGGAGAACTTCTGGTTGGAGCAAAAGAAAATTATTCTTGGAGCCCTGGGGCAAATGGTTTTGTCCTTTTCCTGCCTCCCCAAATCCTAGAACCTTTTGTTGCCACAGCTTGTGCCTGGGCAGTGGCTAAAGAGGGAAAATGCAGATGAAATGTGAGTTTTAAAGCTGTTCTAGATGTTATAGGGCAGAGAGAATGGTCTGGGCCATCCCTTGCTGATGGAGCTGCCCATGGATCCCATGGACACCACTGGGAGCTGTGCTGCCACGCCAGGGGAGAATTTGGCATGCACCTTGAAAATAATAATAAAAAACCCTCTTAAATTACTATAAAAATTACTGTAAAAATACCCACAGTAGCATTTCAAAATTAGATTTATTTTTAAGTGTTACTGTTGCATCCCAGGAATTTGAAAACCATATTCTCTATTAGCAAAACATTTCCCAGACCAATCTACATTCAGTGCATGTATTAAACTTTGCAAACCACAATCCAGCTTCCCTCTTGGGGACAGCACACTCATTTTTTATATTGAAAATAATGAAAGTTCTAAAAAAACCACAGAGAAATTATTTTCCCAGTCATGTTTGCAATTCTTTACCCTTAGAATTACATAAGTCTCTATGTTATGACATTTAATTCCTGTTTTTACTCAGCTTTGCCAAAGCAAGGCAACAAAGAATCTTCATTATGTCCTTCTGCCCAAACATTCATAAGTATTTCCACATGAATTGCTCTGGTAATTTTAAAGTTTAGATGGATTTTCTCCTAGAGCAAGATTGTGGTATTCTTCCTGCCATTACTTATGGTAAAGGAGGCGACCTCAGATGGGGGTGCCCTAGGAAGGAGGAGGATCAGGGTGAGGATGGAGATTTTTAAAACTGTACAGTTCATGAAAATGAATATTTTAATTTAAATTTGCTGTGTTTCAGTATGAGAAGTGCTAACTCAGTGATGCCAACAGCCCTTGGTAAGTGACCTGTGCAGCAAATTCAAGTTGCTGATATTCACAAGGCTTCAGATTCCCTAATCCATATTTCCTAATCAAGTTTTTGACTTCCAGGAAAGGCATCCTGAGCTCCAGCAGGCAAAAGGGCGAAAAATAGCAATTACACAAGGGATATATTCAGGAGGAGCTACCAATGATGGAGAGTAAAAGCAACTCACGTTACACTATGTATTAAAGCAAGAAAAGTAGATCTCCACCTATCTGATTTTGATGTGAAAGCAATTTTAAATCAGAAAGAGGCTGTTATTCACAAGGCTTCAGATTCTCTAATCCATATTTCCTAATCAAGTCTTTGGCTTCCAGGAAAGGCATCGAGCTCCAGCAGGCAAAAGGATCTGGTCAGAAGATGACACAGTGAAGTGAAAAATAGCAATTACACAAGGAATGTGTTCAGGAGGAGCTATCAATGAGCAGGAATGATGGAGAGTAAAACCAACTCATGTTACACTATGTATTAAAGCAATAAAAGCAAATCTCCACCAATCTGATTTTGATGTGAAAGCAATTTTAAATCATGGAGAGGCTCCCAAATCAGGGCAATCTCTCTCTAAACTGAAGGTGTGGGCATTCCAGCAGCACTTTCAGGAGCTGTGCTGATGTCCCAGGCTCTTTTCCAGAGTCCCCATCACTCACCATTGTGTGACATCCCCACAGCCAGGCACTTCTGGAACCTGCAGTACTGACATTTGTTCCTGCTCTTCTTGTGGATGCGGCAGTTCAGGTCACACCTGTCGTAAATCAGCTTCAACCGGATGGTTCTGCGGAAAAATCCCTGCAGGGACAGGGAACAGGGACAGGATGGAACAGGGAACAGGGAAAAACCCTGCAGGGACAGGGAACAGGAACAGGATGGAACAGGGAACAAGGAAAAAGTACTGCAGGGGCAGGAAACAGGGACAGGATGGAACAGGGAACAAGGAAAAAGTACTGCAGGGGCAGGAAACAGGGACAGGATGGAACAGGGAACAGGGGAAAAACCCTGCAGGGACAGGGAACCAGGAAAAGGATGGAACAGGGAACAGGGAAAAGGATGGGACAGGGAACAGGGAACAGGGAAAAAACCCTGCAGGGACAGGGAAATGGGAAAGGATGGAACAGGGAACAGGGAAAGGATGGAACAGGGAAAAAGTACTGCAGGGACAGGAAACATGGAAAGGATGGAACAGGGAAAAAACCCTGCAGGAACAGGGAACAGGGAAAGGATGGGATGAGGAAACAGGGAAAAAAACCATGCAGAGACAGGGAACAGGGAAAGGATGGAACAGGGAACAGGGAAAAACCCTGCAGGGACAGGAAACAGGGAAAGGATAGGATGGGAACAGGGAAAAGGATGGGACCAGGAAACAGGGAAAAAGATGGAACCAGGAAAACAGGGAAAAGGGTGGAACCAGGGAGCCTCCAGTGCATCCTGGCCCTGCTCCACCTACCCAGGACACCTGAGAGATGGATTTCCAAAAGAAGCACAGCTCCTGTCACCATCCTCTCTGCTCCTATTGATCCTCTTTTGTGTTTCCAACCACATTCAACAGAGGGATAAAATTCCCAAAAAGCTGGAGAAGCTTTAGGGAATCAGCAGGGTTTAAAGGACATTAGGGATGGCATTTAAGGGCACAACTCCAAAGGAAGCAAAGCTCTGTTTGTCCCACTGCTTGTGGGAAAATTGTCACAAACCAAAAGGGACATTTTCAAAATATAAAGTTCACTACCAGTGTAGAAAATTCATTAAAAACAACAACAAAACAAAAATTCTGCCAACAGCAGTTCAATTTCTGGTAAATTAAAATGGTTCTTATTTCTCTTTCTACAGTTTAACGATATTTTTTTTGGATCAGCCATAATTAATTAATAAAGTTTATCCAGAGTTATCTCCCTTTTTTCCCTAGTAAAAATTACTTTCTCCTCACAGGGAATAATAACAGTACAAAGATGATGCCAACTTTTATTTATATAATTAACTGTATTTAAGTAATGTACTTTGTATTTATTGCTTTATGTGTGTTCCTAATTCACCACTAAGAATTTTATTTAAGGTCTGGATTTGTTCTTTCCTTTTAGTTATTTTCCTCAAGATACTGCAAATGGAATTTTCACATTAAACTCTAATGTTTTTCTTTGAATTCAATGAAATATTAATAATTTAATTCTCTGACTTTTCTTCCCTCATTCCTGAGGACTGCAATTTTTACACCATTCATTTGTCCTTTATATGTAATAAACACAAAGTATCACTGGCATAAAAAAATCAGTGGGGTTTTAAAGCAGCAAGCACATTCCTCAATGCCATCAGACTTCTCTGTAGTCATGCAAAATGTGTAAAATGGGTAAAAAATCTCGAATTAATCAGAATAACAGAGCCTGAATTTTAGTTGTTTAGAGCTTTGGAGTTGGGCATGAGTTTGGTGCGTTCTAAGAATTCAGATTTTCTGCACATGGCACCCAAGGAAGGGAATGAAATATACTTGCATGATTGAAAGAAGAGGGGAAAACGCACGAAAAATTTGAATAGAACAATACAATCAACAAGAAAAAAACCCAAGCTTTTTTAAAAAAAGCAAGGTTTTAAAAAACAAGGTTTTGAAAAAGCAAGGTTTTAAAAAAAGTAAGGTTTAAAAATCTCCTGCTTATTAACCTGTAAGTCATACGCAGGAAAATTGACGCAAATACCTAAAACTTTTTTTTTTTTTTTAAAAAGCACCAAGGTGTGATTTTCCCAAGTGATTACTGAGATGAACACAGTATCAGATGTCAGTCCAAGAGGTTTTTGGGGCTCACCTTGCAGCCCTCGCAGGCGTGCACGCCGTAGTGGAAGCCGGAGGCTTTGTCGCCGCACACGCGGCACTCGATGGCCATCAGCGAGTTGGACGCCTCCTCATGAGCTTTGTTGTACAGCTGCACCTTCTCTGGGAAATAGGGCGGGGATGGAGGCTCCAGCTTGATGGCACCTGTGCACAGGGGAGAGGTGAGGGGTAAATTCCAGCTGAATTCATGGAGCAAGTGATGCCTTGGGAAGGCTGAGCTAGAGCAGAGGCTGGGCAGAGCTAAAGAATAAGGCAGGGATTTATTCAAAGGATCTCCTCCGTGGATCCGCCTTGGGCAGCACAACAGCCCAGCCAGGGCTGCACCCAAGATGAACCAAAATGGTCCCAAAATGGTCTCAAAATGCACGACCAGTCATGGGGTCTATCACTGTGATCAGTTCTGCTCCATTTGCACCTTGCAGTTCATTGTCCCATTCCAGCTTTAGCCCAGCGCAGTCCCATCCTTGTTTTTCTCTCTCCAGCCCATGGTGTTTGTGCTCCTGGGCTGAGATTGGATCATTTGTCCTTGGTGCCCAGCTGGAGCAGGAATTGTTTTGTCTCCCTGCTCTGTGCACAGAGCTCTCCATGCCCTCATATGAACCCAGACCCACACACTAAAGCAGCACAGAATATGAAAAATACAAAAGCCAAAACCTGAGGCACCAGAAGTAGTGAGGAATAAGCCCAAAACATCCCAGGGATGCTGGGCTGGGAGCTGGAGCTGCATTGCAGTGGCTGCAAAAGCTGGAAGGGGCAGGTTCTGCTGGACAAAGGATGCTACAGATCCAGCTTTCAGCTCTAGAGTGTGCAAGGGTTTCAAGATGGATAATAAAAATTAATGTATGGAGAACTCTGGCTTTACTCGGTCTCCACCTGGTTTATTCCTTCAAGGTGTTGAAAACTCCTACAGGGAGATGGGCTGGAGTGTCTAATCTAGTTTAAAACATATTCAATTGTCTAATAGAGCTGTATATTTAACAATATATTTTTCAATAATAATTTATTATTGTATATAATAATATTATAAAATATTATATAATATTATATAATATATAGTATACAGTATATAGTATATAGTATAGAGTATAGAGTATAGGGTATATAGTATATATACTATAGACCATATACTATATTATTATATTATTCAATAAATATCCAATAATATATCATTCATATATATATATATATAATAATTTCAGACATTTCCAGAAATTTAGCTCTTTCCTGGGGAAAACTCTTCAACTTCAGGTGCAGTTTAGAGATGAATTTTCTCTTCTGAAAGTTTCTAATTAAGAGAGCAAATTCTAATATTGAATGGTCTCAAACAAGTAAATATGATGTCGTTAAATCAATCATCAGTGGTCATAGAAGAGAGCTGTGACATCGGAAAGTTACATTACATCAGGGTGATGTAATAGAGTATTAAAGAAGAATTAGAAGAGTATTAAGAAAGTGGAGTATTAAAGAAGAGCATTAAGAAGAATTATTTGCCTTTAAAGAAGGTGAATATTTTTATTTTTCCAGATTGGCTATACTTAACAAACTAGAAAGATTTATTCCTATATAAACTGGGAAGAAATTATCTAAGCAAAGATGAGGGGGATTTGTGTCATCTAACCTCTGCTGCGCTCTTTAAAAGTACTTGGCATTGAAGTGTTATGAATAATTCTAATTAAACAAGAGAAAAATAAATGACTGGTGGAAAAATGTTCATTCATTTATTACAGCCGTAGTGCAGAGACACACAGCTCCTGCTTCACTGTACCACCCAGATTAAACACCACAATTCCCCCAGCAAGAATTCCCTGAAAGAGTTCTTGTACAGACCACTACAAATAAAAGTGAGGTCAGATCTAAGCACAAGTGGATCCTTAAAAAAACCTTACATTCCTACTCAGAGCAGGAATGCAGTGACAATTTATTTAGGAATAGGTCACTTCCTTTCTTAAAAGGAGGATTGAGTGTAATTTTTCAGTGTAAATTGTGGAAGAGCAGCATGTTTCACAGCAGGTAAACCATCCAGGAGCTGTGATGGAGCTGGAACAATGCTGTGCCTCAGATGTAGCCAATATTTCTACTCCATCCCTTTCTGAGGCTGTTTGGAATTGAAAAGCTGCATATATTAATAATTCAGGGAGTTTATTCTGCACTGGGTGCACTGAGTTCAAAGGAAAAGCTGCACATGAGGTGCAGGAGCAGGAGACAACATCGGGGTTCGTGTGTCTACTAAAATGTGTCTACAATAATTTTGGATATTTATGGTACCTCTCCCAAACTCCAGCTGCTGCTCTGGCAGGGTGAAGGTCTGCTATGAGCATTTTCCCTTTTCTCTCTGCCCTCAAGAACATCTCTGCTGACACAGGAGATCTGAATTCCAAATCCCTTTGCTGCTAGCACACGTTCCAGGGAATGAAGGCAACACGGACACGAGGGAAACGCTTCAGAAAAAGGCAGAGCTTACTTTGGCAATCCTGGAGCTTGATATCATATTTGTAATCCAGGCCTGACTGGTCAGCTCTGGCAAGGGGGAGATCTTCATAGTGAGGAGAGGAAATGCTGGAGAAGTCGACGGTGGTGAAGGGCTTGATGTCAAAGGAATGTGTGTGATCATCCATGGCTGACAGATCCACGGGGCTGATTCCAAAATTCAGGGGCCAAAACGGCATTTCTGTGTCAACCATTGTAATCCCTGCAAACACCAACAAGAAAATTACATTTTAGGATGTTTATCTACAATCTGTTCAGCCCCAAGCTGAGCTCCAAGTGTCCCACGTTCACAGGCTCAACATTAAAACTTTAACTGCATCTCTCCATAGCATGCGTATCAACAAAATTAGAAGTCTTCCACAAATAATTCTCATTTTTGCAAATTCTAAGAACCATTCTTCCCAAGTGCCTGAAAATCTCAAGGGTTTTTATATTAAGAAAAAGCCCCAAAGTAGCTGGTATTAAATAGTGGTGGTTTTTCCTGCAAAAAACCAGAAATATTTGAAAACTGTGCTCCTTTGAGTTTGCCAAAAGTTTAATCCCAAAAGGATCAAGGAAATGTAAATTACAACTTTTCAAATTCCATATATATTCATGCAAACCTTAAAAGCAGAAAACAAATAACAAACTTCTATCTGCAAAAATCTTCTGCAAGTTGAGTGAATTTAGTTTGAGATATGAAATGTTTCTCCACGTCCTCTTTTGACAAATAGCTGAACCAAAATCCTTGATTTAGATATATTTCAACTCTGAAAAAGTGTGTAAATTACAGCAAGTGAACCAAAATCCTTGATTTAGACAGATTTCAACTATGAAAAAGTTTCTAAGTTACAACAAGTGAACCAAAATCTTAGATTTAGATATATTTCAACCATGAAAAAGTTTGTAAGTTACAGCAAATAAACCAAAATCCTTGATTTAGACAGATTTCAACAATGAAAAAGTCTGGAAGTTACAGCAAGTGCAAAGGCTATTTTATAACCAGTGTCTGTGTTTAATTTCCCACTATTTATAAAAAGAACATTCTACCCTAAAAATAGCAGAGATGTTTCAGAACTAAAATAGCTTGGTCACTTTGGCTATTTAATTTGGACTTTAGACCCAATCAAGTGAGTGGCCTTTAACCTCCAGATAACAGAAACTTTGATTTGATCTGCTTTGAATCAAAACCACTCAGTCACACAGCCAAAAGTGCTGTTGCAAAATAAAGACATTGGAACAGGGGTGCTCCAGAGTTTGGAGCTCACCTGTTCTTGACAGGTAATGAAGCTGTGCCTGCCCTCCCATCAGCTCTGCTGAATGCCAGTGCCCAGAAATGGTGGCACTTTGCCTTCCCTCAGGAATGCCCCCAGCATCCCTCCCACTTTTGGGACTCCCAGAACAACCCTGAAGTTGTTCTGCCTTGACCTTGATCTTCTAAATTCTTAAATTTGAGCAGAGAGATTCTCACTGCAGTGGGAACAAACAGGGGCTGTTGCACCCCAGCCACCCCCAGTCCCACTGGATGGGATATCAGGGATGTTATCCTTAATGAAAGGAGGGAAGCAACAGGGTGTAAAATCGCCATAAATCCCTGGGCAAAATCCATGGCAGCTTGTCAGGGTACCTTGGTGTTGGGGGTTATCTCCCAAATGGTCAAGTTTCAAGTGCAGGGCTCAAACCATGAGCTCTGCCCAGGGAATGGTGACATTCCCAAGGCTGCCAGAGCTCCAGGAGCCCCCAGGGATGCCCAGGGTGGGATTGTTGGGGTGACCAGGAGCTGCACTGGATGATCCTTGGGGGTCCCTTCAGCTCAGGAGATTCTCTGATTTGATGACATTTTCTGTGAGCACAAAGTGAAATCCCTGGCCATGAGCACTGAGAAATGTTTTCCCAAACCAGATTTCCCAATGAAACAATAAACCAGGACAGACTCCTCCTTAGGAACCCATTTCTTGCAATGGCCAGACTCATCTTTAAAAAATACAGAAATCAAGAGACATTTTAAATTGTTTTATAGTCCTTTAGACCAGAGACACCAAGGGTTATTGCTTTGTGCTGGAGCTCTGCCTCAAGGGTGAAGGATGGCTACAGGCACAGCCCAGGAATTCCCAGGTTGCTGTGTGGACAAGGAAAACCAAAACATCCAAAGGCAGGAGGACCCACAGGCACAGCTGCCCCTGCACAGACACCTCCCTGCTCTCCCTGCCCCTCCTGGAGAGGTTCAGCACCTGCTGAAAGGCAAGGACAAGCTGGGGCCACTCACTGAGGAGAGGTGAACTCCATCACCTGCCCCTGATCCCACTGGAAAATGAACAGTTTGACTGCACTCTCCATCACACCTCTGAAAAACATCCTCCCAACCTGGAGACCTCAGCACTTTGTCTTTTCAAGTTGAAAAGCTCGAGTTTCAAACCCCTGTGGGCTGAGCAGCAATTTAGAGCTGAGCTGGGTTTCACGTCACTCAGCCCATGGCTGGGATGTTCTGGAGAAGGCCATGATGTGGAACATGAGTAATTCTGTGACACTCCTGCATCATTACAACCCAGAGAGTGCAGGAACTTCCCTGGGTGCAGATATCTCACAGCTTAGACAAACTCAGATAAGCAGGTGAGTCCAGAGGTCTGGCTTGGCACTCACAAGCTCCAAAATCTAAGAGCTTGTAGTAATTCCTTATCAGAAATCTCATTTCCCAGTCAGCACAGCCAAATCATTTCAGCAAAGTCGACCAAAAAAATGCCAAAGTGGTTTTGTGGTAAAAGTATCTCCAGCCTACAAGTGTGATGGTTTAGATTTTTGTTCTGTTTTAGAAGAAACAAAATAAAATGTAATAATTAGCAAGTAACCTGTTGTTTAAGCATTATTGAATAGAAGGGATTGGGCTTCATGTTTTCCCCCTGCCAGTTGTTTTTATCTCTGTGTCTGTCCAAATCACACACAGAGAACAGAGGAAACACAAATGCCAAGATCACCCTGAAGAGAAAACCAGGGAATTGTGGCTGCACCTATCAGCCACTGCAGGGCACTGAGTAATTCTGCTTTATCCTGCTTCTCTTTCTGCTGCAAGGTAATAAAATCTTTACAAATCTTTAGTGTAAAGCCTGTAAACTCCACCCCTTCCAGAGGTTAACATCCCATGACTCTCAAGATCCCACAGTGATATTGTTCACATGCATTTCTGAATGAGAACTTCCACGTTTGCTCAGGTTTTGGGTATAAACACAAAGCACTTTGTTACAATTTTAAAGATCCAATCTTTACATATGATTTAAGCAAATTATGGGTATCTTGTTCAATTTAACAAAATTTTCTATGACAATAGAAACAATGAATTTTTATTTTCAGATGAATTTATATTAGAGATACTCGAAGGAAATATCTTTCATGCTATTTTTATTCTTGCATTATTGAAAACCAATATGTGAAGACTGTTCCTATGTTTAATCGTTTTTTTACAAGCCCTTCTTTTTGCATGTAGCTTTACTTGATTTTTGCTGTGTACTTTGTTTTTTCCTCCCCAGGAAAGAGGAATGACAACATTTCCCTCTGGAAAAGAGAAAATCAAATAATTGTAGTCTTCCATGGCTTTAAGAGACTGAAAAACCAACAACCAAGATTAAAAATCCAATGGACAATCCTACAAACAGACTAGAGAATGCTTTTATAACTCAAAGCTGCTTTGTGTGACATCCAGGCAATAGATCTGTAAATATTTCTCTGATTCAGAAGATTTTCATGGGCAAAAACCCTTCTCAGCCAGCAAGAGGCCGTGCAGAACAGCAGCAGAGATGTTATTTGGGAAGTCAGATGGACGAGCTTGGGCATTTAATCCTCCAAAAGAGCAGGAGTGAAAGAGATAATGCTGCTGAGATAACATTTAATTCTGAGATATGGAGCTTGCTGAGTGCCTTCACCCTGTTTAATTCCTGTGGAGCTGCTCAGGGTCATGTTCAAGGCACTGATCCCACCTGGCACAGCCAGCCCTGGTCACTCTGCTGCTGATGGGCAGAAATCTCATCTCATCATCACCTCCTCCCCTGATTGATCTGCTCTCCAGCTCCTCAGACAGTTATTCCCTGCTAGGAGAACAGAAAATCTAACAGAGGAGATCGCCATGGAATGAAAAACATCCTGGATCACGAGCTGCTCCTTACCATAAACACTACCTGTGCTCAGGTAACCTGAAGGGCCTGTTGTGCTGCATTCTGGACACGCTCTTTCCAGACAAAACTGCCAAAATATGACCCTACAGGTATTTAATGAAGCAACCAGAACGTCCCAACCGACGGGAGTTACAGAAAATAAGAAGACAAAAAATAAATAGGTAAAGCCTCTCAGCTTTATTAAATCAAGGAAGGTGTAATGGCACAACATGGGCAGGAATAAATATGGACAAATTGATACCTGAACTAAATAATGTTATTTCTATATAAATACTGATTTATGGATCTGAAATACTCATGGGCAGGTAGGTCAGAATTAAAAGGAAAAGCACTTCAAAATCATGGGTTTTTCAAAACAGTGGTTTTTTTTTTTAATGGAGACAAATTTCATGGAATAGATTGGATTTCCTCTCATGTATAAATGTGTTAAAATAAATATGTGAACTAAATAATATGATTTTTATATAAGAAATACTGATTTATAGATCTGAAATACTCACAGGCAGGTAGGTAAGAATTAAAAGGAAAAGCACTTCAAAATCATGGGTTTTTCAAAATCTTGGGTTTTTGTTAATGAAGACAAATTTCCTGGAATAGATTGGATTTCCTCTCATGTATAAATGTGTTAAAATTAATATGTGAACTAAATAATGCTATTTCTATATAAGAAATACTGATTTCTTATATTTCTTATATTTCTTACTATATAAGAAATACTGGTTCTGGAAAGCTCACAGGCAGGTAGGTCAGATTTAAAAGGAAAAACACTTCAAAATCATGGGTTTTTCAAAATCTGTGGGTTTTTCTTAATGAAGACAAATTTTGTGGAATAGATTGGATTTCCTCTCATGTATAAATGTGTCAGAGTTTGTCAAGTAAACTCATATACAAGTCCTACAGAAATTAATGGGATTTTTCCCAATTAATTTAATTAAGGCAGCTCAGACTCTCTGTGAAATAATATCTACAAAAGTTGGTTAAGATCACACAACCATCCTCAGCTTTTAGGAAGAATTTGGAGATGGTGAAGGGGCAGCTTGGTACCCCATAGATCCAATTT